ACTCGGCGAAGGGGGATGTGGCTGGCGGCGAGGAGGAAAGGCAGGGGCGCGTACAGGCAACATCACAGCTCCATGCGCCGAGGTATGTGGTTGAACGGCTGATAGACTGGCGTGAGCCCGGGGAAGGGGGGGGGGGAGGGAGAGAGAGAGAAGGGGGAGGTTAATGACCTGTGGCGGGTGGGCGAGAAAAGGGGAGACACAGGGAAGGAGACAGGGGCGCAGCGGCACGGAGGGCCAAAGGGGGAGCTGGCTGGTGGCGTACAAGAACACCGGCAGTGAAGAGCGTGCCGGCTGCAGCAGCCACACATGGATGCAGGCGGACGTGAGCGTGGGGGCGAGAGTCAGCTGGATGGTCTGGCAGGGGGCGGAGGGCGCCGGGCTGGCGGCACGGGATAGGCGAATTGCGACTAGGAGGGGAGGGGGGGGGGGGGGGCGGCGGCGGCGGGTGCGCGCACCTAGGAGCATCAGGCCCAGGATGGGAAGTTGCTTGGCCTTGAAGGGGAGGTAGGAGCGCTTGAGCACCATCCAGCCGAAGCAGGCGATGTTGAAGAGGAGCACGGCGCCGCAGACGGACAGGATGGCACGCTTGCCATCGGTGAAGGTGTACACTTCGGACACATCGTTTGGCGAGCTGTATGTGCCATCCCCATTCGGGATGGGTGACAAGAGCGCGAGCCCGGCGAAGTCGTCCGCCGGCATGGTGGCGCGAGGGGGAGTCGGGAGGAGAGGGGCGAGGGAGGGAGAGGGCGAGCGGGAGGGGGAGAGAGAGAGAGAGAGACTCGGCTGTAGGATAGGCGGCAGGAGGTAAGGCGGGGTGACACGCAGATGTGAGGGAGGGCGGCGGGGAAGGGTGGTGGGGGCAGGTTGAGTGACAGTTGGCTGGACGCTCGGCAAACCGAGTCAGAGCCCATACAGGGGCCCGATGAGATCTTCAACCGGCAGCGGGGAATGCATGGTGCTTGCGTGTGTGTGTGTGTGTGTGTGTGTGTGAGAGTGTGAGAGAGGGAGGGAGGGAGGGAGGGAGAGTGTCTGTGCGGGAGCAGCAGAGAGAGTGCCTGGCCGCCTGCCACCATGTACCGGCACCCACCATGCATCGGCGCCCACACGCGGGGAGGCATGCCAGCCTCGGGCGGAGGGGGCCGGTCTAGGGAGCGCGTTTTACCCGCCGCTTGTCAGAATTGGCTAGCCGGGCGGAGAGGCGGAGCGGCAAGGAGACCATCTAGTGGCAGCACGATCTCCCAGGGCTGCTACCGGCCCCCGAGTCGAGGGATGGGGGGGCGGTCGGGCAGGACACCGGGAGCCAACGCGGATGAGCACGCGTGCTGACACGCTCACACACGCACGCACACGCGCGCGCGCGCGCGCGCGCGCGCGCGCGGGCGCATGTCTGTGCGTGCCCTCGCGACAGAGCACCCGCGTTCGCCGCCAGCGGGATCAGTGCCCCGGCGAACACGGGTGCCAGGCCGAGCGAAAGGGCCACGGCCGGAGTCTGCGCAGGGGAACGCCCCGACTGGGAACCGCCGACCGCCCAGGTGACGCTGTGGGGGCTTCCGGCGGTCGGTGGCGGTCGGGCTGGGAGGGGACCTGGACGAAGGGGGCGCCGGGAGCCACGGAGATGGGCCGAAGGCGCACGGGACACAGCAGCGAGGGAGAGGAAGATGCCGAGGGAACAGGACGAGGGACGAGGCGCGGTCCATTCCGCGCGCGCGCGCGTGCGCCGGCGAGACACGGTTGGCCCCCACCTCGGTGGTCAGCAAATAAATAATAGGCCCCCGTGCTTGAGCGTTCCACCTCGGCCGCCGCCCCTGGGGCCTCTGTTCGCCGACCGGCTCGCACCATTCCTCTGCCTGCCGGCATGCGTGTGGGCGCGCTGGCCTGGCCTGCCTTCCTCCCGGCCTTGCCTGCAGGCCGACGGCGGACTTCGGAGAGAGGGGGACAGGATGTTTCAGTTGGATGGCGGCCGGCCCGGCCCGAGGGCACACAACCAAGATGGGGGGGGGGGACGCAACCGGCGCGCGGCCGGGGGCAAGGAGAGGCAGAGACATGGCCGCAACATCCGGAGCCGGCTCGGGTGCCTGGACAACTGGCGGCCGGGGGAGGGGGAGTGCCCAGGTGGGCCGATCGCCGGCTGGGCGGAGTTGACCTGATCGGGGCTGCCGTCGATCGCGCAGGGACCCGCGGCGGCGCGGCGGGACACCGGCCCAGGCAGGGCGTTTGCGCGTGGGCGGGACCGTCGTCCGCGGCCGTATACGCACGCGTGCGTG